CGAGGACGTCTGCGGCTGGAGCTGCAGCGTCGGCAATATGTGGAGCCCAGCTGCGACGGTATTTTTGTTACCGTGCGATCTCTACCAACACGCGTTTTGGGTCTCTGTCTGTGAGTAGTTGCTGTTTGGGTCCGTGCATCGAATACGCAGGCTCGGCAAAGAGATGGGCATGGGGCCACCCTACCACTCCCCCCCCCCCCCCTCTACGTTCGTGGTACAGGTTGCAGAGCTTGCTGTATGTATTAAGTTGTACATCAGACAATATATTTGAGTCATATGCTATGCATAGCTTTGTTTGCATCACGTGAGGTGTCCTGGAGAAATGAAAGTGTAAAACAATACAAGCCAACATACTCGTACAACGAGTTCATACTCAACAGCCCATAAAGTTTCCGCCAAATGGCAATCAATCGGGCAATGTCTGATCCGCATATTAGACCTTAAACCGGGACATTCTCGTACGACGGCCTAAGGATCGTTGGGTAGCGTTATTTCTTTACGCAAAGGTATTTTGTGTCGCTTGCCGCCCACGGCTTAGTGTTACCTGCAACGGCGGACGCCACCCAGCATCGGGTGACTGCAACGCCGGGTGCTGGTTTACGGCGATATTTCGATCGACCCGTGCCTCACGAATTTAAGCTTTTGGGAATACCTTTTGCTATGCCGTGCACTTGTGGGCTCTTGCGCCAAAGAATTTCTTTGTCTCACTTGGTTTTGGTACTGATGACACACCCTAGCGTGCATATATACGATGAAGCGTGGCATATGGAAAATACCATGTGACTCGGCATGGGGCTCATTAAAAAGATCTTGTACACCATAGTAAGCTCGAAATGAGGTTTCTAGGCCCATGTGAGAATTATGTTTCCAAAACGCACCTTTTTTTAACAGCAAGCAACGAACAACGAGGACACCACCAATTAAGTACTGGTTTCATCAGTCGGACTAGTTCTGTTATTGTTCACAGAGTTGCCTCATTCGAGATTGTACTACTGAAGCAGTGGTCGGTTCCCTCCCCCCGCCCCCCCAAAAAGTGCGATTCTTGACTTGTTTACTGAGTACAACATACAGCGGAAAATTGGCAACACATGCCGTGTGAATTAGAAAACGCCACTCTGAACGTATTTAAATAAAAAAATGTTATTGTGTGCACCCAATGCCACGAGAAAGACAGAATATTTTGAAATATAGGTTGCATGTTCAACCACCTCACGTTGCCGTCTTGAACGTTATCAAATAGGAATCCAAATCAGCGGACATTACCGACCCTGCGATACCATACAATCAATGGAGCAGAAACTGGCGACTTGTCTCCGACCGCAGTTAGTAATTAGTTCAACGTCTGCAGCGTACTCCGCTGACATGAGGGTAGCACGTAGAAGTCTGCTTCACTTCCTCTTGGACAGCAGGAGATTGGAGCGCGTGTCAGCAGCCTACGGACGCCGATGCGGAAGTGATAGCGATCATCCACACCCGAGGTCATCACATCCGCAGCAGAAGATTGGAGCGCATGTCAGCAGTCTACGGTCGCCGATGCGGAAGAGTGATAGCGATCATCCACACCCGAGGTCATCACATCCCGCAGCAGAAGATTGGAGCGCATGTCAGCAGTCTGCGGTCGCCGATGCGGAAAGTGATAGCGTCACCCACACCCGAGGTCATCACATCCGCAACAGAAGACCGACACGCGTGGCGACCGTGGGAGCGAGCATTGCGAACCGTGCGCTCCTCGCCGAGGAAGAATGAGGAAGTGAATAGAACGTTCTAATTGCATGAGATCTGGAACAATGATACGAAATTGCATTGTGTCCTCCCCGCATTTTAAACTACTTGACGAAATGCTAAACGCACACTAAGTGTACTCAGCAAAACTTATAATAACAAGCAGTGATAATTGTTGGCGATTTAACACTCTCTCTGATGGGGTCAAATTCATCTTCACAAACATTTTTCCGGAAAAGCCTCCGAGCGGCGTGGCATCGCCTTGCCACATTTTGCATAGTTATAGGCAATTCAATAGCGGATTGCTTGCGTACACAATTTAAATGTACTTTGTAAAGTCGCTGGTCTATGGCAGGTCAAAGTCAGGCCATGGTTTAAGCGAAGACAATTTACAGGGAATCGTTCAATCTGATCCAACAACGGAATGTTAGACGAAGCCATACATCTTTGAGATACTTTCTTAAGCAACACAACACTTAAATTAACAAATTACAATGACCTAAGGCCAGTTATAAAGGTCAGACCAGGGTTAAAATCAACCTGCTTTATTACTCTAGGGTTTGCTATGTAGGGCAGTTTCTGGTGTTCATTTCGAATTTATTGATAACAGGAACCGCATTATACACTTTCCATAGACTTCTTAAAGGTCAGAATAGGTCACTGACCTAGAATGACCCAGTTCAACATTTTGTTTTCAGGGGCATACTGCCTGGCGTAATCTATGCCGCTTATCAAAATGCAAAGCTCAAAGTGGTCGTGTATGATTTTGGTCACCATGACCTTCAAAAGGTCAAACGAGGTCACTGACAAGCATGTGACCTTTTACCTAGAACAGTTATCTAGGTTCCAGGGGCCCTTTGGAGACCAACCTGGAATTTCACCATATTCAACCTTACTAGACCCGAAGGTCATAACCTAGAAACCTCTAACTTTGACCTAAATGATTTCATGTATATATCAACAAACCCTGTGAATTAAGTGTCTCTAGCTCTCTTAGTTCCTGAGATCTCAGGGGGCAGGCTCAAATTAACCCCCACCTGAGCGAAGAGTATCCAAGCGGCCACCCGGGCTCCTGTTAACGAGAAATAATTGACACACAATGAAGATAAAGGAGATCAATCACAAGTATCCTGAGGCCAAGATCGACTTCCTGACATATGAAGCACTGCCACAAAAACTATTGCGCATGTGAAAAGGCAACTATGTGGACGGGTCATACCGAAATTAACTGAGGCGGAAAAAGAGACGTTTTCGATCCAGACTGTGGGAAGATCACTTACAGTGGAAGAGTTGCGCAGATTACAGTTATATAGACATGCAGTAAGCACTCATACACCTAGCGTGATGGCTAGATGGGAATATGGATGATAGTGAGGGGGTAATTGGAAAAAAAGATATACAAAATTTCATGTGTTTGTACAAAGTGTAGTAAATTGCAATCACAACGGTGTAGACTGCTCCACAGAGACATACCCACGAGGCGTTACTTACACATTCGAAATGTTACTGATACATATCAGTGTATGCCTTGTAATCAGACGGACACGTTAGCCCATTTTATATATGAATGTCATTTGGTAAATAGCACGTGGGAGAAGCCCATCACAAAATTTGATATCGTGTCTTTAATACAATGCGACATATATTGTTTGGAATTATAGGCGGATGACGTGCAATTCA